AATTGCAATGACGACCTTCGTCATTGCCTTGTTTTCGTTCACATTCTGCCCCATTAATATTCTCCTTTTCCTCCTTTTCCTTATCGTCAGGAAATCGCATTCGTTTTGCACGTAGTGTTTGTTATTCCTGGTTCGGTGCTTTCCTCATGTCCTTTTCCTTTCAAATTTTATAGGCATGGTCTCTAACATCTCATCAAGGTCACTACATTCTTTGATTTTCGAAATCACTCATGCATAACCGTCCAGGCGCCATTTTGTCCGTTTTTGGTCCATTTTAAGGCCTTTCTATCTTCCTTCCTATCTCCACTATCCTAGATCCTACAAACTTCTAACAAATTCCTCTAGATAGTCTAAGAGATGTTCTTTAATCTGCGACGTATAACCTGCCCTTCAAAATGCCATCTTCGTACTCAAAATTCAAATCTGAAACCGACTCCGTCAAAAATCTCTCAAATTCTTGAAAAATTGACCCCTAAATAATCTAAAACTGCCATAACTTTCTCATATAAATTTCGTTTTGTATTTAAGTCTTACAGTATCTTTATCTCATAATTGCACATAGCCATGCCAAATTTCACACTCCAATAACTTTGCAAAACATAAATAGCGCCCTCTAAAGTTCTGGGAATTGGCTTTCTTTCTGTGGCCGTATCTCCATTATGGCTTGGCAAATCCGTACCCTTTTTTGGATTTAGATACTTGAAGATATGCCCTTTCCAGCCATATACAAAATTATATACCCTAACACTGACCGACTTTGCGAAAAATGCCCTCCAAATTCGCCATTTTCAAGAAAATTCCAAAATAACTTAAACTTGCTCTAAAATGGCGATCTTTATACCTACATCAATGAAACTTGGCAGACATATGTATCCATATACGTGACAACTGTCTGCCAAGTTAAAAAAATTGTAATGCCCTCGTCGCAAAGTTATCGCCAAAAATGATGAATTTACTATGCATTACGTAATAGCGCGTTTAATGCGTGCAATACATTGCGCAGAGATAACAATGGTGTCAAACTGACCGCAATGAAGTGCTCTTTTGCATGATACAATTAGTATAGTATATGTTCACACAGAAAATTGTGAGTAAATCGCATTTGAATATAGGTCACTATACGAATTCCGCCGAGTTTCCGCCGAGTTTTCAGACTGCTTTTCGCCCCTTAAACGTCCTTTTTTTTCCTTGAAAATTTGCAGTGACATGCCGAGTTCCAATACGCAGGGCACCTCGTGGCCGGATTTTCGAAATTGGTCAAGGGGGCCATTTAAGACGCCATTTTGTCCTATAAATCTATTTTACATCACGTGTTTCGATAGGATTATCATAGAAAAACAGAGAGTGGTTTACAATAACAACCATGAAATTCTCTTTCTAATGATACCAAATACGGCCCATAAAGAGACGTAAAGAGAGAGAGAAAAAACAATTTAACTCCGGTCAAAATACAGATCCTGTACGTTTTCCGCCTATGCATTACACGCATTGTCTATGGGGCATATCGGGTTCACGCTTTTGGCCCCCAGAACGATCTTTATTGCAATGACGAACATGCACCAAATCCCCTTGGTTTTTGCACGCAGTGCTTGCGAGCCCTTTCTAGGTTCTTTCCCCTATCCCAATTTCTTTCAAACTTCGTAGGCATAGTCACTACCATCCCATCAAGGTCACTGTCGAGGCCTTTCTTTCGCCCTACCTATCTCCAGTATCACAGAAGCTACAGACTTCGTGCAAATTGCTCTGGATAGTCCGAGAGAAGCTCTTTCGTTTGACACGTAGAAACACGGCGTCATTGCACGCACATCGTTGTGACACGATTGCATTTCTAGTTTCTTTTCATGAGGACAATTCAAAGAGCGAAAGATCAAGAACATTTAAAAACAATTATATAATGTGAACACGACCACATCTACTTTTCTAAAAATCAACCTAAGACATTTCCAATAACAAACTGAAAGGTGCGAACATGACCATGAGGTATTACATAATCATAACATGATTTTTAAGTTCATTTGGCTGACTAGTAACAAAAACAACTTCAAATTACAAAGAACCAGAGATACAAGTAGATGAACAGCCCTGATCACCAATGCCTGATAGATACAATGCAGCGCAGGCACCTAGCAAGAAAGCAAGTATATGGACAAAATATATAAGTATAGGTTTATAATTTATTACCCATATCAGGAAATTCGATTTCTACTGGTTGGTACAAGTCATGCAGTATAAAAATACTCACAATGAGACAAAATACATACATAACATACAAATAACTGAGTTATATAGTCATTCTGACGATTGAATTAAACCATTAATGGTTTATTTCATTAAAAAACATTCGCGGCCCGAGGGCCGAATTGCATTTGTTTTTACAAAGTATACATCAGTGACAAGGTAAAATTACCCATAAACATTATGCATGGTAACATTATAGTAGTAAAATTGCAATTCTTTTGTAAATATCATATATAATTGTGCTTCTACGCCACCTGCTCCGGCTACAATTACTCAGCGGCAATTCAGTACATTAATCAAACTCCCGATCCCTAGCCCTGTTAAGAAACCTACACCGCACCCAACCCAACACCAAGCACAAACCCAGCTCAAAACCCAACAACAAATACAACCCCAACCCCACATCCCTGATGAACTAAAGCAGCGCCGCCAGAGCATGTGTCGGGTTGAACCATCTTTGTACATTATGGCAAATTGCTTGGTACATATACAGAAATCTGAATTTTATTACCATATTTGCAATAATCTTATATATTGAACTTATACAATATGTGAATATTAATACATTTTTTTATATTCAAAAGAATTAAATGTTTTGGTTGTAAAATGCATAGTCAGATGGGTATGGTATGGTTATGGTGTTTTCTTCAATAACAGATACAGAGACAACAACAGAAACCAAATCCAGGAATTATGAAATCAAATAAATGCTACAATGATTAAACAAATTATACATCGTAGGTAAAATGCAGAACATTTTGAATTTGGGCCAATTCAGTAAAAGGTACATGTAGAATGACAAAATTATTATTTATACTATGTATATCACATTATTATACTACATCCATGATTGGTTAATGTTTTTTATCGGTAATACAAATACAATGTAATTACTTGAGCCTCTGTAGTAACGTAATAATTGTTTCCACGTTTGGATATGTAGTACATTGGACTAATATATGAATGAATTGAATTGAATCATGAGCATTGAGACATGGACAAGTTATAAATAACCCTTTCTGCGTTTGAATGATTGAGATCAATCTTAACAAATTGGAATAGAAAGTAAAAGTTTTTCCTGATCACAAGTCCACGGTAAAAGGACATTTTGTGTCTTGATTTGCATTTGCTATGTTATATTTCATAACTTTCGTTTATCTTAATGTTTTTATCGCAAGAATTTTAATCAAGTATAATGATATCATAATAATATTACTATACATTTTTATTAGATATACATTCATAATTTTATACGTGTATATGTAAATTTAAAAGTGATTAGAAGAACAATGTCTATATTAATTCACAACGTTACATGAATTATACTAGGAGCATGGTTTCGATTTATTCGCATCATGTAAAGTAAGCGTTTCATGGTTTCACATGAATATAAATTATATAGACACGTATAGACAAGTACATGCTTACACAGGTGTATTCAAATGAGGACGAGGGGGTGTTTCACAAAGACCCTAAGTTGAACTTAACTCTAATATCAAAATAAGCATATAAAAACTCTTTATGAAATAAAGGTAGATGTCTTAATTTTAAATAATTTTTGTTGTCAAAGGTTCAATAAAGTAAAAAATTGTCCACCATATTTTCTCGAAAAGTGATTAAAAAAAATTCTTCTTCAAAAAGTCTTACTATCCAGTTTATTCAAAGCGCTTTAAACATTGAACAAATTTCCATCAAATTCAGGCCCCCTTTTGAATACGGAGCAATCAATGACGATTTTTTTTTTTTGGTATTAATTCCTTTTTCCGTTTCATAAAAATACATGTATAGTTTTTCTAATTCTTCCACCACATATTCAGGAACAGGTCAAACTGACGCACAAAAAAAAACTGAATTTTGACAATGCAAAGTTTTTAGAATTTGTATTTTTCCTATTAAAATAAGATTTCTTTTCCTCCATACATTTAACAATATCTTAATGTGTGCAGAAGCTACTTGTTCAATTATCCTCATTTGTCCGCTGTATCTACCTACTTGTTACACGTTCCGGATGTGGGGTATAAAGTGGTGATATTCACCACATCAGATTTGTTTTTCAAACAAAATATGCAAATATAAATTTCAAGGTAAAAAAATACCTCGGTTCATTTTATATAAGCTGAATTAAAACTCAAATTTAAAGCGCAAAGGTTAAGTCAGAAATGGGTGCAGGCACCACAACACCATTGAAAATGTCGCCATATATTATTATCGACCTCAAAGTGAAAATCACACCATGCGACCTTTGAATGGTTTTGTTGTGTCTTGTCACAAATTCAAATTTTTGGTGCTGTAGTCTGTTACCCTACTTTATTGATACAAGCAAGAATTATAATAATAGTTTCATTTTTATAGCGCAGCTACTACATATGATTATACTCTGCTGCGCTTAATACAAGGTTTCAAATCATTACCCCGGCTGTAGCTTAACTGCCATAATAAGGCGCTGAAGCATTCAAGGAATTTCTTCCTACCGAATATCCATTTTCTTCACCTGGGTGAAGAGTGGCAAATGTAGAGTATTGTTTTGCCAATGGACATTAGTGTCGCAGCGGGACTCGAACCACGAACCATGTGACCCACAGTCTGGTGACGTATCCGCTAGACCACGATACCTCTACAAGTCCAATTCTCCCGTAGCTTTCGGAGCGCCTTCTTCGAGCATTGCCGAAAGCGGACATCAGTTGCGTTAAAAACAAATATCTTCCACCACCACGTGCAGAGTTGAAGTGTTTTTAAAAACCATGTTAGATAGTTAACGCCACGCGACATCCCAAGTCTTGGCCCAACGTATCCGACAAGAGTCGGGATGGCAGTGGCTATGAAGGACGTTAGGACGGTGATGGTGATGCTCTTTAACCCTCTAATATCTACGCGCCTCTGTAGGGCGCCCTCTCGGATCAAGTTTGGGGTGATCTTTAGCGATGACCTGAACGCGATGCAAATCAGACGGACATTGACAATAGCGATGAAGATGGCGGATAAAGCCAGAGTGGCTATGAGCGAGGCGAAAATCTTTATTTGGGGCGTAGTAAGACTTGTTACAGATCCCCTGCAAAGTGTAGCAGCGCCCTCATCGGCAAAGGGTAATCCTGTGAGAGGCAAACTTAGCGATGCGACGAGGAGAGAAATGGCCGCGACCATGATGATGTATAAACCCACACGTGTGGTTGTTAAGAGTCGTCTGAACTGAAGAGGGTGGGTTACCTGGATGTATTTATTTAAACTTAATCCGAGCAAGAGCCACGATGAGAAAATAAAAGACATTACAACCCCCGATATCGCACATTGACAAGGTTCATTTTGAATCGATACTATTGAAGATAAATCCATAAGCGACATTACAATTGCGCTTAGACACCCACCAAAAATATCGTTGATTGTAATTACTGAATATAATAACTTCTCCGATGGATCGAAATCCGTATTCGGTAAATTCATAATGTGTGCCACGAAGGGGTTAAATATTGTGATCGGAAACACGGTGATCAGGTAGGAAGATACTCGCAGGTAGACCAGTTCTGTCGATAGATCGTCTGTGTTGATCGCTAAAGTAGTTTCCATTTTGTTGGACCAGGCCCTGAATGAAAGAGACAGAATACAATGATAATTATCATAATAAGTATTGTTATTTTTATTATCATTTTTGTTGCTGTTGTTTTATTTATTTATTTATTCATGATTTCTTTCAACAGGATAGTTTCATTCAGATCCACTGGAAGCCAGTGGATCTGCTTTCCAAGAATGCCCTGCATAAAAATGAAAGTTTAAAAAAAAAAATATAATATAATACAACAATTAAAAATTGTACATACATGTGAAATATCAAATGAAACATATATTTTTAAAACATAAGACTATTGAAATCATAGATTATGTATTATTAATTATGACAAATAAAAAGTAATACAATAACAAAAGCGTGCCTAAAACAAAACACCTAAACAAACAGAAAACACGAAAACCTAAAATCCACGATAAAGTAAATAGAAATACTAAAATAATTATAGAATGAATAGAGTACAGAAGGCCTATTGCACTTTTAAGATATAACAAAGAAGGTGAAAGAGTTACAGTAAATTCCAAGAAAGACGGCATTGCTTTTTGAACAAATGTAATGTTGTGCACGACTGAACAGAGAGTGGGAGTTTGATATACAACAGCGGATCATAGTAGGCAAAGCTACGTTTTCTATATTCAGTTTGTGCCTGTGGGACAAACAAAGGAATGTTTACTGCATACCAGTGGCGGATCCAGGGGGCGGGGGGCCACCCCCCCCCCCCCACCTGGCAAAAAAAGAGAAGGAAAAAAGGGGGAAAAGGGAAAAAGGGGAAAACCCCTGAGCTTCCGGGGTTTTCACCTAGGGCCCAAACTCAGGCACATGGATGCTCATCTGATGGTTATTTTATGCCTAAAACCCCTGATCTCCTGGGGGCTCTGCCCCCTGGACCCCACACCAATTAGTCACCTACCAGTGCCATAAATAAGGTATCGAAATATGCTCATCTGACCGTAATTAAATGCCTAAAACCCCTTGACTTCCGGTGGCTCTGCCCCCTGGACCCCACCTAGGGCCCTAAGGGGGGCCCTGCATGCTTGTCTGACCGTTATAAAATTCCTAAAACATGTGAGCTTCTGGGGCTCCGCCCCCTGGAACCCCCGCCAATAAGTGACCTGCAAGTGTCACAAATAAGGTATAATTACGCTCATCTGACGTTATTAATTGCATAAAGCCCTGAGCTTCCGGGGCTCGGCCCCCCGAACCCAACCAATGGCCCTAAGGCGGGCCCCTGGATGCTCATGTGACCGTAATATATTGCCTAACACCCCTGAGCCTCCGCCTCCTGGACCCCACGCCAAATCGTGACCTGCCAGTGTCACAAATAAGGTATAAAAATATGCTCATCTGACCGTAATTTATTACCCATAACCCCTGAGCTTCCGAGCAAGCGTGTTTTATACTCTACGGGTGTAACTTAAAATTACTTGAAATGTAACTTAAAATTCTGAGACTGTTTGTATTCATGTATTTTGTATACATGTACCGTATATATATATTTTGTAAATCAATGACTATTTAAGAAAACCTGCCGGATAGGAATTTCTTCCAGACTGTCCTCGGGCACACTAGGCTGTAGTAATAATAACGAATAAATGTTCATTGAATAAAATATCAAACGAAATAAAAACGAAGCAACAATATTATAAACAACGCAGACCTACCTTTCAAATCGCCGAGGAAGAAAAAGAAGACAAAAACGCTTTTCTACTTCTGTGCATGGTGTCGATTTCAATGAAGAACTCAACATCCCGATTTGGTGTGTGAAGTGATGCCTAAAGATAAACTCGAATTCTGGTCAATATAGAAACAAAATTCTCTCAGAATCCAACGAAATTCACACTGAATGTTCAAGATTACAAAATAAGATTATAACATGTATAGAAGCTGAGTAATGAGCAAAGAGCAAGAGATTCGGGTATAGGTTAGGGTTAGGGTCACTAGCTAGGCTGTGAGGGAAATGCCAGTTGTGTTTTTTTTTTATCTAATATGATGCCCAGTGAGTTTGGGTGCGTTTGTTTTTATTTCACTGGTTCAAACAACCAATCTACTGCAGGATAAACAATCCAGAATAAATCATAGCAATTTTCTCTCAAAAAACGATTCCCATACCACAGCTGAAAAATATATCTCTTGATTGCTGACAATTATCGCGATGTGAGTTCGTTTAGCGATGTCGCCAGTGGTAAGGTCAGTTCTATATATCTTCACCTTCTGCTCGAACACAATTTACATAATTCTGTGGATATGTGATACAATTTTCATAATACCCCTTTTAGTAGTCTTAAAAGCATTGTTTAACAATGTTTCTAGTTTTACAAAATTGAGATGTATGCATGGCCATGTACGTGTTATCAGTGTCTGTAATATGGTGTAATATTGAAGCCCTAAAAAAATGCGCTTCAAAATGATCATGAAGTGCTTCAAAAAAGTTTTAAAAAATTGAGTGACCGGTTTCAACATACTCATTTGCCCCAATAGACTATAGTGTCATAAACTTTTTTGTTTTAATTTCTAATTCCAATCATGAATATCTTGATAACCAGACGGGCGATCAGCTTGTAAACGTCATGGGATTCCTCACTGACCTAAATGTTTATAATTATCATTGCAGCATGGGATAAATCCACGTACGATTTTGTTTATAATCTGAGTCAAAGATGCCCAATCCCTTCAAGGAGTAATAACAAATTGTTTTCACAAGGCCATTTCTCCCAATTTCCTTTTCCCAGAAGGTGGGCAAAATATATATTAAAACTCGAGGGCGGAAACGAATAGAAACAAATGACGTCATTGAGTATTCATTTTAGCCAGCATAGACACCACTGAGGGAGCAAGGATGGAATCATTACGGCAAGAGTACAAAAGGCCATTTTCGTAATTATTTCATTCGAAAAATTTACAAATATTTTTTATTGATTCTACAAATCATAAGATTCCATGAAATTTTCTACGGTTTCTAGGATTCTTTAAGTTTCTTATTCAACTAAATATTTGAAAGTTATTATATCATATTTTATTTTATCTATTTATTGATATGTATTTATTCAGGATAACAAGAATTAAAATATACATTGTAGATAAAAAAAAAAATCATTAACATGAAAATATCAGGTAGGCAAAGTAAGCTCCATTATTTAACAAAAGTATTTTTCAGTTAATATTCCTTGTTTGATTGAATTATTTACAACTTTTTTTTGTTTCGATTTTACAAAAAATTAATCATACGATTAAATGAATGTTTTTACGGAAAAGATTTTTTTAATTTCTTATTCTATAAATATTTTGAACAACATTGTATCTTGTTACATTCGCATGAAAATATCAGATGTGCAAAAAATGATTTTGATATAACGAATTTTAAATAACTTTCATTATTTGCTAAGTTTTTTGTTTTCTTTAACGGTGAATTTAAAGATGCGCCTCTGAAAATATATAAAGTCTGTTGTAAAAGTCCTCTGGAACTAATCAATTTACTCGATCGTAAAAACTTTCCAAAAGCGGCCCAATACCAATTTCTGTTGTATATCCTAATCCCATAGACAACATGTTTAGATTACGTAATAAGTCATTGTCACGTTTGCACATTAACTATAGGTGACGCCTGACTATTTGAAATACATTTAATAGGTTGATTTTTCGAATCGTGTTGTATCAATTTTCCTTATTTAACGGTATAAATAGAGATGGCGCCTAAGCAAAATATCTGTAGTCTGTTGTAAAAATCTACTAGGAGTCAATTAACCCATTGCTTACTGGAACCTGGTAGTCCCTGTGATAAGTCTATAGGAATTAGATAATTCAGTAGTCGACGGGTTAATAAGATCGCAAAGACTTTCAAGAATAAACTCAAGGATGATTTCAGAACCCCCTATTGTCATAATTGAACTTACTTTAGAAATCATTTTCTGATGTACGTCTGATGTGCGGGTTTCAATAATAATAATAATAATAATAATAATAATAATAATAATAATAATAATAATAATAATAATAATAATAATAATAATAATAATAATCATAATCATAATCATAATAATAATCATAATAATACGCTGGGGCTGGGACTGGGGCCTGTCAAAAATACCACCACGTATCCTCTGCATGTCGTAAAAGGCGAATAAGAGGGGGACCATTCAGCATCAGGGGGCTGGTGGTATTACTGGGTGGCACCAGTAGGACCAACACAAAAATGAATATCTCCTAAATCGTTGAATTGGGAAGGCGAGTTTAGACCGCCTTTAAATAAGCCCAGCTTGCTCTGCATTGGGCAGCAGCGATGCAGTAGGAGTGTTTCGCCGGAAGATCCTGGAATCTTTTAGGACAACGGTGAACCTCTCATAATCTGGTGTGCTGGATAATCCCAGATACGGCTACATACTGCGGTGAAGAAGGCAATGGAAATCCACTTCACTATCATTCAAAGAACAATCGTGATGAACCACAACTCTAAAGCAATAGACAATGGCGTGAAGGTGGCTCGTCTACCTCAAGGCACCTCGCCCGGTAGGGTTTCCCGTGGGCGACAGGGGGACCCCGACCGTCAGCCAGCTACTGTTCGCAATAGAAATACCATGATCATCAGAGTTGGAACATGGAATGTGAGAACACTGTATCAGAGCGGCAAGCTGGAAAACGTTAAACAAGAGATGATGAGGCTGAATGTCAACATATTGGGAATAAATGAAACAAGATGGCTGAATAACGGCGAGTTTGTGATAGATGAGTGCAGATTTATTTATGCAGGAGGTGAACAACTTTTTTCTTTTTTTGGGGGGGGGGGGCAGAAGAAAATCTGCATCACCACCACTCTTACATGTAACATGCAGGCCCCCCAACAGAACGTTTTTTAAAGTGGAGTATTAAATACCTAAAACCCTAAGCTTCCGGGGCTGTGCCCCCTGGACCCCCTCCCCCGCCAATTAGCGACCTGCCAGTGTCACAAATAAAGTATCTAAATATGTTTTTCTGACCGTAATTTAATGCCTAACAGCATGAGCTTCCTGGGGCTCAGCCCGTGGACCCTATTCCAATTTACGCTCGCTACGATCTACCTCATTGTTAATTACGGTCAGATGAGCATCCAGGGGGCCGCCTTAGAGCTCTGGATGTCTTCCAGGGGGCAGAGCCCCCGGAAGCTCAGGTGGTTCAGGTAATTAATTAAGGTCAGATGAGCATCCAGGGGCCGCGTTAGGGCCCTTGGTGGGGTCAAGGGGGCAGAGCCCCTAAAAGCTCATGGGTTTTTAGGTATTTACGACCAGATGAGCATATTTTGATACCTCATTTTGGGACATTGGCATGTCACTCATTTCTTTTCTCTCTCTTTTTTCTTTTTTTCTTGAATATACTTTTTCAAAAAGTGAGGGGGGGGGTTCGAGCTCCCTAGCCCCGACGTTCTACAGGCCCTGACATGAAGGCTTCTAAATAAGCATATGTTGTCGCCCGTCTGTACATTTGGGAATTTGTAATTTTCCAACAAACGCATACAAAGTTACGATTTAAAAAAAATGGAGAAAAATTAATACCTGAAAACCATGTCATTTCAGCCACATTCGTAAATCACTGATAACGAATTCAATATACCCCCATCCCCATCAGTACGCCAGTGTTCAGGGGCTCATGTCTTCTCACCTATTTAATAATTAAAAAAACACGCTTTCCCATCCTCTCACAATATTTCCACGATTGTGGAACAGCGCATGATCGACAAATTCGAACGATATGGCACTTAGAGAGAGAGAACCAGAGAGAGAGAGAGACGTTACACAGTAAAACGTACCATATTTATAGCACTTCCAATGTAAACAAAAGAAAAGACACACACCCATACACACACACACACTTCTCCGCTTTGACTGGCCTTCAATTCATTCCTTATGTGTAACGCTAAAATATTATTCACATATTTCATGTCGATCAATATTTACTAAGGGCAGCTGGAGTTTTCTTCTGTCAATAAATCTGCATCATGTGACAATGGTACATATTTGTTCACTCTACTTGCCTATTTCTGCACGACATGTAAGCATGCATGACAAGAGTATTGGCTTAATTTGTAAAGGCAATCGCAGTACGTGTCTGGTTCGGTTTAGTTTACACATGATATTTACATTTAGACATTAGACGCCATCTTGATTTGCACAAAGTGCGTGCAAATCACCACTACATTATCGAATTTTTCTTCTTTGGGCGAAGTTAAAACATCAAAAGACAGCCAATCGAGGAGGTAAACTATCTTTAGGATTTCAAAATACGAAGGTAAGAACAGCAACATCGATGTGTAGGAAGTGAGTTGAGTTGTTTTGATGGGGGTGTGGAGAATATGACGTAAACACGGAAATGGGAAAAAAATTATAAAACGGTTATGAAACGAACGAGTTTGAAATGAGAATGAAATGATTATGCAACAAGTGTGAGTATAAGCCTTTTCGTAAATACTATCTGCGAATGGGCATATAAAGGTCATTTCTGATAAAATTGTAAAACCCACCAACAGGAATACATGCTCATGTTATGGAATCAATAGGGACTTTTAGATTTGCGTGGACTGATACGTGTGACGTCCATTCAAGGCAGTGCATTAAAAGGACGTCGATCGTAGCAATCCACGTTGTCTTTCGGCAAATCTAAAAATCCCTAATGTCTAGCCGTCTCGTCTGTGGATAATAGCGCTACAATGTCAACATTAAACTTGGCAAACCTATTGTCCAGAATTCCAGATGGCCTTGGTTGATTTTATACCTGCTCAATCTAGCAAAACGTGTGCTTCAGCTCGTTTTTTGTTGTTAAACTACTAGACTACTTGCCTGTCGTGTAACTCTTATGAATAGCAAAACCACCAAAATAATTTTCTTTAAAAGGGCTTCTCTAACCCAACTAACACAGCCTTTTAAGAATACACCTCTACTTATTAATATTCCACCCTCTGATTTTTCAGCATATCTCTGTATTGACCCAAAAATGATACGCCCCTCGAAAAAAAGTAATACGGTCACGTGGCCTTGATGACGCATCTGACGTCATTGCGAGCATGTCAGATTTGTCATACAACTAAGGATCTTACAATCTTATTGTAACTCATAAATGAAACGTACTGGGTTTATCAATTATTTTTTCCGATAAATGTCTTTTTTTTTTCCAATTAATATCATAGTGTGCCCTTTTAAAGACATTTAATGCCTAAATCACCCTCCTTTTTACCAGAGAGGCTCCTGCAGTGACGTCATAAACAGTTGCGCAATACAACTCCCAAACTGTTTTTTTTTCCTGAACGTTCTGAGTCGTCATTTTTAAAGCTATATTCCAGAATTATTGATGATTTCTAAGAAAAATCATTGTCATGTTCGGAATCTCCGTCAAAATCTTTTTCTACATGTCTTTTTTTTTCATTTTTTAGACTGTTTTGGTTAGAGTGGTCCTTTAAGTGAACGAAAGATTGGATGCTCACTTGAGTTAAACCGTGAAGTGAGTGACAAAGAACTTGTCATGCTCTAGCTGAAATCTGAAATTCCATTACCTTTCTGTTGCCGACACAAAAGCATTCCTTTTCCATCGATAATAGACAAGCAGCTCGTTTATGATCCTCGGAAATTAAAAAAAAACAGCACAAAGGAATAAAACTGGCTCAGAAAATGAACGTATATGCAAGACTAGTTATCGACTGAGTTACACCAGCTATGATGGTATGTCGCTTTGAATCCTTTGAAAAAAGAGATATTTGTCACTCATTTGCAAAATCATGGCCCAACTGGAAGCTTCTACACAAGCCATTGATATTATCTCATAGTGTTATCAATATCTTGATACAAACCTCCCAGTGAACCTGGTTAGACTATGGTACTCGCGTACTACGAAATGGTCTACTTGGTATGGATCGAGAGAAAAACAATGAGCTGGGGCATTTTCATGAGAGATACAAATTAAGAAAACAAAATCAGTTTTGCTACTGTGAAAGTTTTTTATTACAGTGTCTCTCTTTGATGGATAAGGCCAAATGTCAATTATATCGATAACCCCCCCCCCCCCCGCTCTCTATTTCTCTCTCCCTATCTCTCTCCTTCTCTACCTTCTTACCCCCGCCAATCTTTTATTCTGTCTGAGCCCCGTTTACTGTCTTCCTTTCCCCACTCTCTTTCCATCTTTCTCAGTAACCCACCCCCCTCTCTCTCTCTCTCTCTCTCTATACGTGTCTCTCCATATTATAGCTCTGTATCCATGTTTATATTGTGGAGTACACAATGAACCAGAATTGTCAAATCTGACAGACATGTGGTCTACAACAGAACCAACTATTATCAGTAGTATTGGTAGTAATAGTAGTAGTGGTAGTAGTAATAGTATTATAGTTATTATAGGTTTTTCCGGCCAATTTCGTCAAAGCAGCGATCAATTTCATTAACGTGTATTCATGTTCGAGCAAATTTTCTCCACTCGTTGCTGCCCTGGTTCATTTTTAAACTTGATGCATTCAATTACGTTTCTAGCCACCGAATTTTCTAAACATGCAGTTCAGTCAATTTGGAAATACGTAAGGGTTATTCAATTTCGCCAAAGTTGAGTGGGAGGAGAATTCTTTGGCGAATTGCGGTTTCATTTTCGTCTATGGGCAACCTCTTTCGCAATCGGGTCATTCAAATTAAAACTAGACCTCATAATCACAGTATGATGTTCGATGTTTATTCGGATATTGAGTATTTCATGTTCATTTATTTATTCCTTTTCTCTATGATCTTTTCTGACGTGATTTCGCATTATTCCATCTTCTTATTATTTTGTCTGATATAGTTATATTGCATTTTATGTTTTCTCTTTCTTTCGACATTCTTTATTTTTGTTGAAACATCTCTTTATTCATATCTTCATATTTTTCATTATACATGTCTTTGAGGTTATTTTTAAAATGGTTTGTTTTGATCAATCTTGATTGAGTAGGTGATCTTTCCATCTTTTCATTTAACATCGTTTTCATTATTCATCATCGTATTTTGTTTCCATCATGTCCATGTCTATTAAAGCTGAACTCTTCCTCTGTCCAGGATCTGTTTATATACAGTGCGTCCCAGAAAAAACAAAACCGAGAATTGTCGATGTTTTATCATTAATTAGTCACATTTATAATTGATAAATGACACATATTTGGAAAGCTGAGATCCTCTTCTTTCATCTGATGTAACTCATATAATGTATATTTCACGCATGAGTGATTGAGATGAATTTGAAAAGAGGAAACCAGAAATTCATTTGGCGGACGGTATCTGAATTTCAAAGAGAAAATCACATTTCCAGAAAGTTGAGTTTCTGCCCTTTCATATGACACCTCAATCACGAACAATGAGCAAGGAATGACAAAGTTCTGTATGTTTAAAGTAGTGCTTGCATATCCATAATTTTATCAAACGAATTCGTTTTCACTGGCTGCCTGCCGTAGCAAAAACACAGAATTACCAAAAGACTTAACTCCGTTTCGTTGACAATCAGCCATGCATGAAGTCTTTCGTCTACGGCCGATTGTCAACGAAACGGAGTTGTTTTCTAAACTCCGTGTGTTACTAAGGCAGGCAGCCGGTTTGGGGTTAAACCCTCACCCCCTTGAGTTTGTTTTATATATATGTTTTGTGCATGTTTTTTGGGAACCCCCCCCCCCCCCCTTTCATTTTTGTTTTGGTATTTTTTTATAATTAAAAAAAAAATATATAAAAAAAATTGCCAATGGCTGACCTAAAAAAGATGACCCCCCCCCCCCCAACGGAACAAAATGTCAATTTTCTTAAATTACGAGACAAAAAAAAAAAAAAAGTGTCCTCTTACCCCCCGCTTATTCAGCGTCTGGCTGAGTCGTTGCGAAATTTGTGGCCCGATTTTAACCCCCCCCCCCCCCTTGAAAAAATCCTGCGTACGCCACTGCTACTAAATCAAATTGAATGACGCTATTAGCTTCTTGAATGTTGATCTACATAGTCATTCAATTTTGCACGAACTTGAATGAACGTTACGTTAATTTGGATGCGAAGTTTAAGAAGTTGGGCGGGAAAACCTATAGTAGTTGTACTGTTATTAACATTACCACTGTAATTATCATTGTTATTCTTTTTAATCATTATTATTATAATTATCATTGTTATTTTTTTTTGTCATTATTATTATTACTTTTATTATTATTATCACCATTATTATTATCATTATTGATATTATCATTATTTTACTTGGGCTGCGTTCTACAGGTCGATTTTCTGATAAAGATGGCGGCTAACTTCAGCTCTTCAGAAGACATCTGTGAAGGAGAGAACTGTGAGCAGTCTTGTGAGCAACAGGATATAGAGGGCGTGATCATGAAAAGCAGAGCGAGTCTAAACACTTTGAGAGAAATGGCAACGGACAAACTACAGCTTTGTCGAAATTATGGAGATCAGATTCAAGGGTGTAGGATATACACCGACAACCTTCTGCATGCTTTGAAAAATGAAGTTGATTCGGTAATCAATGAGGCGATCCAAACAGACGAAGACAGAGAGAAGGAGGACGCAGCAAAAATCAACCAGGAAATTGATGAGAAGAATCAAAATCTTGAAGAGGAGATTCAAAAGATCAAAGAAGAGATCGGAAAGAACGATGAGGAGAGAGAGAATCGACTTGAACTGAACCGTAAAAATGCAGAGAAAAGACGAAAACCCATCGACGAAAAACAGCATAGCCTTCAAACAGACATTCAAAACATCGCTAAAGAAAAAGAGAAAAAGATAGCGGAAATTGAGAAAACATGGCAAAATGACATGAAAACAACAAAGAATACAGAACAGACACTTGACACAGTTCTCGAAGATGATAATAATTTTGTCAAAGATGGGCATCTTGTTAAGACATCAGTGATTGATGAATTAAAAAAGCCACTGAATGAGGGTGAGGTGAAACAAGTCACTGATACCATATCGGGTGTGAGGTTTGTGAAGGGTGCTTGGAGAGAGAAGTATGATGGGAGGATTGATGGGTATGATGGGGAATGGAAGCTCATTGATACCATCAATGTCAGTGATGAAATCAAATACCCGGCCATTGCAGGATGCATAGATGAATGCAATGTGATCCTTACAGATAAAGATCCGGGTGAACAAAATACATACATGTTCAATATGAACACTAAACACACTCAGAGAGTGATAACCAATGTTATATCATGTGTTGTCTCTTGTGCATTGCTGAATGATGACAAGGTAGTATGCGGTAAATACAGTCCTCGGACTGGTGGTAGTTATACAGGGGACAGTTTGAATGGATTCATCAATGTGTATGACAGACAATGGGACCACATCAATGACGTCACAATACCAAAAAACACACCGCGTTATTGCACGCGGGTGGATGTAGCTGTTGACCAGATTGGGATAATCATCGCTGCTGAGGAAGGTCAGTCCAAGATATACTTCATCAACCCAGCTGATGGTAAGATCATGCATACCATCACATGTAAACAGGATATACTGATGCGTGGTGTACTATCTTCAGGTTATATCGTCGCTCAACCCTACCCACCGGATCACAGAGTGTTCATCATCGACAGAAAGGGTGCTCAAAGGGAAATCACCCATAGTGGTCTCATTCTGAATACCTGCATCGATCCCATGACAGACGACCTCTACGTCGTGACATCAGATGATGAGTGCAAGACGTGTGTGATTGATCAGGTGATGAGTGGGGGTGACATGGATAAGAGTAGAGTAGCATCATTCCCTCTATCAAGTAGATGGACTCTCATTGTATCATCTCGCGTGGTGATGACGTCATCAGGGAATATGATTGCTTGCGATGGAGACAACATTCTCGTATTCAAAAAGTTATTGAGCCTATAGAGTACCGAAGCTGTGACATCATAACAATCTATTTTTAGAATTTCTCAATTTTTTGTTCATTTTCTAATAGAGCATCAACAATAATGTCCAATTGTAAACAAAACACCAATTGAATATGTTAAGTATTGGCTAAAATATAACCATCTGAATAAAAAGATTTCCTATAGGAACTCAGTGATATTTTGCTCTGGTTCATAACATTACGAACCAAAGCAAAATAACACTGAGCTCTTAGGCCACCGTCCAACCCGCTTCCTTTTTGGGGGCCACCTCCTTTTTTTTCTTTTTAATTTCCTGATTTTTGTTGATTTTTTTTTAAAAGTAAAAAAAAACATGAAAAACACTGCTAAAATTGATCTATTTCTAATAGGAAAAAACAAAAATGTCGGCGGTCATCTTGTAAAATAGCCCGAAAAAAGAAAGAAAAAAAGGCTTCCTCCTTCCTAATTTTCAAAAAAGCAGGACGCTATAAATGTTTTTTTTTTTTTTTGGGGGGGGGGGCGCCTTATAGGAAATCTATTTATTCAGATGGTCATATCTCAGTCAATACTTAACATATTCAATTGGTTTTCGACATTTGGAAATCATTTTCGATGCTCATTTGGAAAATGCTCATTTGGAAAATGAAGCAAAAATTAAAACATAAATGTTTTTAAAAATTGATGACGTCACAATTCACCACTCTGTGAAGGCCCGTTCACAATTGACGCGGTAAACCGGTTTTTGTTTCTTTTTAATTTTTTGGTTCATGTGTGTGTTTATCTGTATTTTTTGTTAAAGACGTAATTGTAATGCGCTTCACATGTATGCATCTTAATAACACAGAGATCAGTTAATACGCATAGGAAATCTGTTGAGCGTAGTTTCCATTCATTTACACATTAAAAAACTCTGCCGTGGTATATCAAAAGCGCGTATGCAGGGGGGGGGGGGGGTTCCCTTTTGAATTTGTTAATGTGTGTTTTGGTGGAACTCCCCCCCCCCCCCTCCACCCCTACTTTGTTTTTGTTTTTTAATAAAAACAAAATAATAATAATTAAAAAAAAAAAAATTGTGGTAATGGGTGACCCAAGAAAGCTGACTGTACCACCCCCTCAACAAAACGAAATATCGATCCGCAAAATTGAATCCCCCCCCCCTTTTTGAACTTTTTAATGTGTGTGTTTTGGTGGAACCCCCCTCCCCCCCCCCCCCCCCCACCCTCACTTTGTTTTTTTTTTTTTTTTTTATTTAAAAAAAAAGTAAATAAATAAATTGTGTACATATCAGTTTGTGACGGTTATTTTGTTAATTGTAATCTATAATGAATATAGCTACATTATACTTAGTATGTGTACGAGTGAACTTTGTTGATGCTACGTGTTACTAAGAAACTTGATAGTTTATGTAGGACCTATTTTGAAGGAAAAAAACAATGCTACACCGATGAAAATGTGCATGTCTTTGTCATTTGTTTGTTTGTTTTGTTGGTGTTAGTTTCTTTTCAACACGTCCTAATTTGTAAATAACTACATACTTTATGCAGGACCTTTTTTTGACAAAGCAGATGATATAACAATGTCTGAAAAGCAAGTTACTTGTTTTAGTTGTTTGTTTGTTTTAACTTGTTTTGTGTTTTGTAATCTACATATATATCTAAATTAGCTACATTATACTAAATATATCGAAGATTGAAATTTGAATTGATAATTGTTCTTGTTATGAAAAATAAAAGACATATATGTTACATGTAAATCCTTGATATGATTTTAATGAAAAAATGATATAATTCAAAAATTGCGTGTTTCCGTAACATCATATTATGAAAATAGACAATATGCACTGTAAAGAAGTGACCATCGGTATCTGTACTGAACAGAATTACGTATTTTAACAAAAAAAGTTTACGTATAGATTATTGAATATATATATGCTTGTGTAAGTACTATCTTATAAACGTATTTATATATAGTATGTAGGCCTATGTGTCGATGTGTATATATATAGTCTTATAGATATAACAAATAATCTGCACTGTTAAAAGCCCATGCATGTTTTGTTTACGATATTATTTTCGATATTATCTTAAAAGATAGATAATTATAAAACGAAACAAAAAATAACAATAATACAAAAATGAGATATATAATCACGTGACGTATTTTGGCGACAATAGTCACAACTGACTAATCGCCAATAAGCCAAAATACAACAACAACAACTGTAAAATAAAATGTGAATAGCTGCATTGTTCTAGTATTTCTAAGATTCGTTCATATTTCTTTTCATCTTTTTTAATAAAAAAGCTATAAAAAATCAAGTGAGTTTCACTAATTTGTAAAGTGTGATTTATCACAAGATTATACACAATATTACGTATTCTCATGCGAAGCTGCACTGAGTAAGAATCGAATTGGTTGATTTCTGTTAAATTGTGTAACATAAGATTATGTTTGTATGTTCTGCGTACATATCCGGTAATGATCGTTTACCTCCTTACGTGGAGATCATGTGGTCCTCTCGTTCCTTCGCTAAACTCTCATAGCTCAGTCCACCGGTAGCTAGATGAGGGTTCGAATCCCAGCTCGGCACTAACGTCCTTTCTTTGAAGACATTAATCCATATTTGGCACTCTCTACCCAGGTGTCGTAAACGGATACCTTTTCGTGCTGAGATAATAATGATTGCAAGGCCCGCAGGAAAAGCGTGTGACTACCCTTGATAAATAAAACCCAATTAGTATATCAATTATTATTTTGTTTAATTATCTTTCTCTTCTCCCGAAGTGATGCCTTTCAATAACGGATTTGTAATCAGGTCGTAGACTTGGGGAAGAATAGTTTTCAAGTATGACTATTCAATGTTTACACATACATATTACTTTTAAATGAATTAAGAGTACTGAATTGTGACGTCATACTAGCCAAGTTGTCAAGGTTGATGGACCCAAACAATTTTGTGCTAGACCAGGGAGATGTGACTTTAAAGTCTCCCTGGCTTAACAATGGCATAGTGATCATCACCATTTTGCCTGCTCCAGTCCGTTGCTCGAATCATTTCGCGGTGAACCTCCTGCGCAGGCTCTCTTCTTTGGAACCAGTACCCGGGACAACGAGCGAATATGACGTCAACACTATGGTACTCTTTTAGGCGATTCCGTGTAATATGCCCAGAATGCGAGAATTTGGTTTCTTCTTCCTCACATAAATCATCCCAAAATCAAGAAGCTATTTATAAAAACCGTTGAATGATGGTGGTTTCTGCTATCACTCTCGTTAGTCATAGGGCGCGTTCATGCTTGATTTTGAAGGCAGAATGAGCGATTTGTAACGCTCATCGTAAACGCTCATCGTAATCGCAGTTCCACGGTGCACTGTTCATGCTCACTTCTCCAGGCAATTCTCCTTGGGTGGCCTTCAGCTGGATTCGCAAACCTGTGTGCGCATGCTACGTAGACCCACTAGAGGTCAGTGCGTTGACCCCATTTAAACGCGTTAAAAATTGTAAACGCATCTTTTTGTGAGTTTACGATCGGCGATCGTGATCGCCGTTTTTCGGTGATTCTACAAAAGTGAGCATGAACGCAATCGTGTTTTAAACTAAACGCGTAACAGATGCCTGATTCTGGCCGTCAAAATCAAGCATGAACGCGCCCTTAGACATGTCAAGGGGTGTTTCAGTCAGTGGTGACAAATAAAGATAAATGTCATAAATATGTGGTATGGAACACCGTATTGCACTAAATAGTCACATGCATGTAAATCGTTTACCTTTCTCACAATATGACTGAAAGGAGTCGGTGGAAGGAAAAAAAATTCCCTTGCATCACTTAAATAGTTTGTGATTTCTTTCCGAAGTTGTCCAGTATTCTTTTCTGTTATCACGTTTGCTTTTTAATAACTTTTCGAATGTATCTCATTAGTATGGTACTATGCTGTGATTTATTGGATTAACCATAACAGATATAAGTCTGTTTTCTGTAATAAAGCTATACAGGTAGACAGGACGCTAGTTATGATTCAGATTTTCATTTGTGTATTTGTCAATATTCATACCGAAATCACAATAATTATATGCGATAAAGAAGTAAAAGAACAGAATTGGTTTTTTGTTTAATGGAGGCAAGAGAGAGAAAGAGAGAGAGAGAAGGGGTGATACAATTTATTCAATTAATTTTCCATATTAAAAAAAACACAAATATAACAAAGTATTGACACGTTGTAATAAAATAATAATATAAACATAAAACTGGAGGGTTACCCTTAATAAGCAGGGAGGCACGATAGCTCAGTCGGTAGAGTAGTGGTCTTGTAATCAGGTGAGCCGGGTTCGAAACCAAGTCGATGCGCTAGTGCCCTTTGGTAAGGCATTAATCCTCATGACCAGGTCCCTCAGAGAGGACCTAAAGCCGCCGGCCGTCTGAATGCTTACTTACAAGCATTTATGCTTTCTTAGCAGTCAGGTAAAAAAAAAAAAAAAACAACAGGACCCCGGTATACAATATTAAATTTGTTAGAGAAATATCTAAACATTTGAGAGAATTATAAAACAGCAAAATTATATATAAATCAGGAAATTGCAATCACCTGCTACTAACTGCTACTATAAATACACAGATACATGTACACATTCACAGACACACGTACTTTTTCTTTTCTTTTTTCTCAATAGTTCTTTTATTGATTCCAAACAATACAAATCAATTTTAGAAAAAAAAAAGAAGATGTTTTCCCTTGACATGAATTCAAAACATTTTCATTACATAGATTGTACGATTGATGAAAACAAAAATGATATCAGTTGTAACCCCCCCCCCTCACTATTTTCTTTTTGTGTGTGATTTGTGATGAACCCCCCCCCCCCCTCCTCATTTTTTTCTGTTAATAGAAAGAAAAAAAAACGTTTGTTATTTTTGTGTACCAAAGGGTGACCAACCCCCCCCCCCCCCCAAAAAAAAAAAAAAAAGATGACCCCCCCCGCCCCCCTGAGTCGTTGTGAAATTTTTGGGACCAAGAAAAACATATATATTACATACTTAAGTCTTCAAGATTATATATTTTACAGTTTCGATTGCTAGATTAAGCCTGGTAGGATTATTCCTTGAAATGCACTGTGAGCTGATTCCGGCTGCCGGAGCTAAAGGCTAAGGTATATATTTGTAAAGCGCTTAGAGACATTTGTATTAAGCGCTATATAAAAATTAAATATTATTATTATTATTAAGGTATTTATTTCCAAAGCTCTTTGGAAGCGCATAGAGACGTTATTTATTATTTAATGTGATATGCGCTATAAAAGAACCGAATATTATTAAAACTATTATTAAAGGGGTTGACGGGAAACTAATCAAGACTGGAAATGGGTACATTTGAAAAGCACTACTATTGCATAAAATAATCAATCCTTTCCTCAGTCGTTGATTATTGCTTTGTGCAGAAATGCAAGTGTAACAAAAGATCACTGTGCAGAGAGGCGACAAAAGCAACCGAAGTGTCAAACTGAAACAAAACACTGCTGCCTATTGATGATCGATACAAGACAAAACAACAATTTACTCTTAAGAAATAGAAACAATCATTTTTTTTAATTTCAATCTCTTCAGAAGGGTTAGTTTGACTTTTCAAAATAGCCATTCTCCAATGAACGCGTCCCACATTTCGTTAGTCTCGTTGACAGCCTTTTGATGCGTGCTATAATCCAGACAGTCGGCCTGAAACACAGATACTCCGTGTAGCTGTTTTTCCTTTGCCATCTCAAAGCGTAGAGCGAGACTAGTTGCGTTGTCATACCACACCTGATGCGTTTGCCCAGTTTCAGTATCCTGAGAGAGGGGAGGGATGGATGGAGAGAGAGAAAAGGGGAGAGGGACAGTGTAAAGGAGAGAGAGAGAGAGAGAGAGAGAGAGAGAGAGAGAGAGAGGAGAGGGTGGTCGAGAAAGAGAATGAGAGCGAGGGGGAGAGAAGAAGACAGAGAGGGGGAGGGTATGAAGATAGAGATAGAGAGAGAGAGAGAGAGAGAGAGAGAGAAAGAGAGAGCAAGTGATGGGGAGGGAGAAATGCCAATGGAAAGGGAAAGGGAGCACAGCAAAAGGAGTAGGAAGGGATTTGGATGGACATGGAGGAAGAGAGAAGGGGTAATAAATATAGATTAAAGAAAAAGTTGATTTGTGGGAAAGGTGGGAAAATGTGTTAACATTTTCATTCTTTATAATTATGTTAGCATGGAAGAGTATCATAGCAAAAATGTCACCTAGCAAACATCGTTCTTCAAATGCCCTCATATTTGAAATATCGCAAGTAATAGCTCAAAGTTGGGGACCATAACTTTCATGACACTTGTTTTTGCAGTCCCATACTAATTTATGTGTACAGTGCATGTGACCTTTGGCAAAACTGGGCAATTTTCTTATCATTTTAATGTTTCCTAAACCTGACAGTACATCAATGATGATCTGCTACACGATCAACCTTTTGAAAGCACTTCCACACAGTACTATCTTTAACAATGCAATCGCATGACAAGAACTCAACTTTTATATTTAAAGGCCGTCTGTACTAGTTTGGCTAAGAAGGATAAGACCACCCAGGATGGTCACTGACGGGTGGCTATCTCATCAACTCAGCTCTCAATTAACATAAGAAAAAGAGGATCGCGGGGGACCAATTGTAACCGATTAGGCATTGTTTTCTATATAGAGGGAGCAAGTAGCTACAAGTTGTACAGTGGGGCTTTAAAAGGAACTTCCTAAAAAACGATAATTTAAAAAAAAAAAACAACCTTCTCATTTTTGTATGTTACCTTGTAGTCAAAATATGGAGACTGGTCGGCTTCGCTCCATTTTCGACCTGTCGTAGAGTTGTTATCCAGGAGTTTCATGATATCACCAAAGGCGCTCTGTCGCTGGGTGGACAGTTTATAGAGGCAAACGTCACTCTATGAAAAACATGCAAAACGTAAAAATGAGACTAAGTTTTCTTAAAGGGATCCGGTAACTTTGTCTTAGATCCTTTAAAAAAATCCTTGATTTAGCTCATGCTGCAATGATAGTTATAAACCTTTATGTCAGTTAGTTAGGAGCACCGTGACTTTTACAATCCGATCGCCTGTCTGATTATCAAGATATTTATGATTGAAAATCGAAATCAAATTTTGCGTTTGCCAAACGGTTTTTATAACACTACAGTCTATTGGGGGAAACGAGTATGGTAAAACCGGTCACTCAAAGATTTTTTTTTCTTTTTTGAGGCACTTAATGATAATTTTGAAGCGAATCTTTTGTAGAGCTTCAATATTACACCATATCACAGAAACTGATAACAAGTAGGACCATGCTTCTCAGATTTAACATTTAAACGATGCCTTTAAATAATATAATATAATATAGGCCTACCATTATTATCGTCATCATCTTAATTATTATTGTTCTGTTATCGTATATTTCTATTACAATTAGTATTATTATTATTATCATTATCATCATCATCATCATCTACATATCATCATTATTTCGATTCTTATTGCTGTAATTGTACTATTTGTTGTTGTCATCGTCGTTATTATTATTTACTTCTTATTCAAAATAGTGTTATAAAAGCTAAAACTATTATTTTGTCGTCATCATCATAATCTTCATAATCGTACATTCAGTTGTGCCGCTCCTAAGCTTTGGAATAACCTACCACTAGACATAAGAAAAGGTCCATCTGTTGCTGTCTTCAAAGTTTTTTTGAGGACGCACTTGTTTTCATGAGCTTTTGAATAGTTTTCTTTATTGTGTATCTTTAAAGAAGCACTGTCAAATGGGTGTAGCTTGCCGAGACAAGTCGTTCCCGTGGTCTGACTCGGGGTCAATCGACTACGGAAGACGCGACCGCAGTATTCACGTGCGTACAACCTAATCGAAACCGAAGCGTGAGGAGAACTTCTGTTTTGTTTCGCAAACGGCAGTGCACGCCGACCGTTAATCAAGTCCATTCGTTTACGTGCAGTTGTCCAAAATAACCGTAGATGGCGTTACCCAATATTTGCCATATGATACAGCCCCTTTAAGAGTTTCGTCTTCATCACAGCGCACTAGACTAAATGTGTATATTACCTGCGATATATATAAATTGATCTAATTAACATCATTACCTCTGTCAGCATCGAACAGGGGAAGTCGTACCCATACCAGGGAACAATAAGAACAAGCTTGCTCGAGGGAACATCGGCTTTGATGAAGTCATCTACACCTAGAGGAACACAACATCAACAGCAAACTTAGTTTAATATTAATAGGAATAATAACCGTTCATTACTCTTATTTATATTATGATAACCAAGCGCTGTTATAGAAGAAAAATAATACGGGGAGGGACTTTAAGGTGGGTTTGGATTTTTGTTTCGTTTTTGTTGGTACATATACCTCGCTTAATGTGATTTATATTAAATATAATTTATATATATATATATATATATATATATATTCTTTTTCTAATACATTTGGGTATACATTTTCTTTTCTTATTGATATAAATGTTATACATTTTAAATTAAACATTACAATTTTTAAATTATTATATCATCATAATCACGATGATCGTACATTGTTTTAAGTAATTCGCCTTTTCGCCTTTTCCCCCTTTCCTTTCGATAATAATTGTATGTGTATTATTTTTTCCCCGTTGTATACGGTCCTGTGTATTCAGGCACTAATCTAGGCTTGAATGTTCCTTTGAGCATGCTTTATCTTGTATGATTAATGAATTAAATATCATTCAAAATATATACTTGGGGGGCAGAGCTTGCCAGCCCCATGAACCGCTTCTAAGATGCGTTTCACAAATCCTTTGTCCAATGACAAATTACTAAAGATCAGTGACACATATGCTGACAACTAATCAGAAGTAAGGATTTCAGTAGCTTACAACAAAAACTGTCATTTGTCACTGATGACAAGTTTTGTGAAACGCCCCCCTGATAAGAACCATTAGGGCCCATTAGAACACATTGGCCCGAATTCACAACGGAGGTTTGTGGACAAACCTCATTTTGTTCTTTACAAACCAGGTTTGTAAAAAGCGCGTAAAAACGCATCATATGACGTACGAAAACCAAGGTTTGTCGACAAACCTCCTTTGAGAATTCGGGCCAAGGTGGACGGGTTTCTTTTACCTTTGGTTGTTTTATTGAGTGGTGCATTGGCCATTGCCCTGCCATCGACAACGAGTTCATCGTAGGCCATGATCATGATGTAGTCGACGATCTCGCCGATGGCACGGTAGTCGTAGCACCGCCCGAACGTACACTCCGCCGAATATGGAGAATCAAGCGTTACCTTGAGAAAATATAATTGAAATAAAAATGGGGAAAAACAATGAAAATAAAATTCCTCTATCTGTACAATTGCTATTAATGTAGTGGTAGTGGTTGTTATTTTACCTGACTGCTAAGAAAGCATTAATGCTTGTTAGTAAGCAACCAGAGGACCGACGGCTTAAGGTCCTCTCCCAGAAGCGGATCTAGAGGGGGGGTTGGGGGGGTGCAACCCCCCCAAAAAAAAAAAAAAAATCCGGGGACCATTTTTTTTAATCTTATCTTTTTTTTTAAACTTGTAATTTTAGTTTATTCTATTTCTATGTATTTATTTCATTTATTATTATTATTATTATTATTATTATTATTATTATTATTATTATTATTATTATTATTTCTTTTTGGGGGGAGGGGGGGGGGGTTGGGCGAACAAAATATGTCACAGAGTCCCTTGCCCCCCCCCCCCTCCCATCAGCTTTTTTGAGGACACGGGCCACCGCCGAAGTGAAAAAAAAAAGAAAGAAAAAAGAACGCACGCTGGAGAGAAACCCTTTCAAGTGCAAATATTGTGAGAAGATTTTCAACTCATCTGGTAACTTAACCAAACACAACTCTGGATATAACTGTGTATTTAACTGTTACTTGATTTAAAAAGACGTTATCATGCACTGCTTTTTATGGTCTCCATTGTGTTAATAGATGCCAGGAAAACATCACTTACGGGGTTCAAATAAACACCCCAAAAAAAATCGGCTCGCCGCTTCGCGGCTCGTGGACGATGCTCTGCATCGTCATTATTTTGGTCAATCCCCCCCTTAGCAAAAAGCTAGATCCGCCCCTGTCTCCGAGAGACCTGGTAATGAGGATTAATGCCTTACTAAAGGGCACTAGCGCATCACCTTGGTTTCGAACCCGGATTACGAGACCACTGCTCTACCGACTAAGCTATCGCATCTCCATCCACTGTTACAAATAAAAATTGAACTGAATTGAATTGAACTTTTATTTGCTTCCAATCACAGTAAAAATGACATTACTCATTGTTGAAAAACATAGGCAAAGAAAAATACATTAAAATTTATATTTGTTATAATTATATACATTGGAAAAAGAAAAAAGAAGAAAAGAAAAAGAAGACATGATTAAAAATGTGCACCCGTAAAAGCATCAGGGGTTTAATGAATGGGCACACCCTGAGCGCGCCTCAATATAATTAACCATAAAAAAACTCAGTGAGCTGAAGAAGAGTAAAGGTATAAACAACGCTTACAAGATGATAAGAAGTGCTGCTTAAGTTTACGTTTAACTGGTCTGGTGAACTACATTGATTGTAAAGAATGTGATAATGTGTTCCAAACTTTAGGGCTATTATGGCGAAGAGAAATTGCAACAGTAGGCCTACTAGAAAATACTTTCCACTGGTGAAGCTTAGAGGCATTTCTTTTATTGTAATTGTGTGTTGTGTATTTTTGTTAGTAAATGCTTTGTCTTTTATTGATTCAAAGTGCCCTTGTTCTAAATCAATGGACTAAAAAGAAGAAAATAATAATAAAAGTGCGCCTATCATAAAAAGAGAGAAAGAAGGGGTAAAGAATTGTTTCAATAGTGTGTCAACAAAAAGCGATTTTATGTTTTATGTCAATTGGCAATACAGAAACCAAGAACAATTAATAAGTAATATCAAGATGAATCTTTTTTAGTTGAACCTTTAACGCATTTATATTCATGCCTTGATCTTTCCCTTCCACTTTCCTTAAGTTTCCCCTATTTTATTATATCAGTTTGTTGATTGAGAATATATATATATAATTAAACTCTATATGCAATGTTGTTATATTGATATAAAGTAATAAAATGCCTCGTATGAGGAAAAGAGAGAAGAAAAAAATAGTGTGTCAACATAATTCATGAATTGCAAGTCGAGTCTTATCAAGGATCATTCCCTTTGTAGTTGAATCCACATCAAGTTTCCCTCTTTCTTCTTGAGGTTGAATATCATCACAAAATGAAGCGATCCTAATAATGACTCGCCATCCTCTCTCCTCCTCGCCGTAAAACGTGAGTTCCCAATTATTATGTACATATTTTAATAATAATAATAATAATCCGGTTTTTTATATAGCGCTCAATACACCGATCCAACGATGTGCCTAAGCGCTTTACAGATATATTATTTTAGGGAATATTTCAAGGGCAACACATGCTTCTTGAAACTATCCGAAACTCACTTGGGCGTACGGCAGGGCCTTCTTAAACGCGTCTTTGATTTGTCTGACCATGTCTGTAAGGTAATGAGCCTGCGACTTCTGGAGGGGTTGTTCAAAATCTATGTTGAATCCGTCAGTGAAGTTGCCAACAGCCGACTGAACAGTTTGCTCGGCCCAGGCGGTGCGGGCGCTCTCATTGAAAAGAGTCTCCAAGGAGCATGCACCTGTTATGAATTGATTTAAAAAAAAACAAGAGCGAATATGCTTTATTTCTAACCAGTAATTGATCACGAAGTAAAAATATCAACATCATTGCCATTTATTTATTGCCTGATTATGACCATGACAAGACAGCACTTATTTTGAATGAGTAGAGCAATGGATCGAGATGTTGTGGTGTAGTGCACCCACAACAAAAAGTGAGTCACCCTTACTCAAATTGATGAGTCACTGGTTTGTCCGTACAGTGAAACACTTGAAGGATCGTGTGAGTCACTATGACTCGATACAAATGAGTCTATAGTGACTCACACGATCCTTCAAGTGTTTCGCTGTACGGACAAACCAGTGACTCATCAATTTGAGTAAGGGTGACTCACTTTTTGTTGTGGGTGCATCATGACATAGACCCCCCTACTCCCTAGGCCTATCACACACATACCATACCATGCCAGAGTCACTGTCCACATTTGCAATGGAAAATATATCCTAAAATATCACATTTTAGCGATGTAATCGGTGGTCCCGCTACCCGAATCTGAAAAATCTACTTTGTACGCACTAAATTAAGCCTTAACTTGAGATTTATTTGTCACCCATACTGTCACGAAACAATCTTGAATTGATTCGTTTTACATCAAATAACAAGGATCTAGGAGTTTCGTTGTATAAAACAATGATGCAAGATCATGCATGTTTTCATTCGACACGGCTTCGTGCGATACAATAGAATCTATACACTATGAACATGACTGACAATGAGAGCGGACAAAATATACAGTTCCTCAGGTAGACAAAGGAACATCCCTTCACAGCTATTATGTAAAAAGGTGAATATGCATGTGACACCTGTTCTACACATTTTTACATAATAGCAGTGAAGGGATGTTCCTTTGTCTACCTGAGGAACTGTATATTTTGTCCGCTCTCATTGTCAGTCATGTTCATAGTGATAGTTAAGTTACACACAGCCTCATCAACTCGAGTGCGGATATCGTAAAATGAACGCATGCATCATTTGTATAATAAGCCCACGAATCCAGTCATAAAAAGCATCGTTTAAAACCATATGAATAATTATGCGTACCAATTTTTCACTAGCTGCAGTCAAAACTCTTCTGAATCCAAGATATAAGATGGCGACGTCGCGTCGTCGATCGGGAATTCAAATATGGCTCGAGAATGCGCATTTTGGATGACGTAACGAAAGCATGCGCGCGCATGCATACAGCCTCACTTTCAAGTTGACTCACTTTTTTCTTCTAAAATGCTCTTATGTCGATCTTGACTCATTTTTTACGACCATGTGAGTCAGTCGAAGCATTTTGCAAATGCGTCAGCTCATGATTGACACACTGGTGAAATATAAATGAGTCAATAGAGACTCATTGGTTGTTACTAATGAGTCAATTTACACCTGACTCACGAAAATTATGCTTAAATGTGTCAAATGACTCACTTTTTGTTGTGGGTGTGCATTCATTTGACTCTCAACACCCAAAGGTTGAGGGTTCGAATCCAAGCCGAGCAATTATGTCCTTTGGCAAGACCTATTTGCAACTCTCCAACCAGTTGTTTGACCTGGCACTTGCTGGGTTAATACATAACTGCAGAGGCCTAACAAAAAACTGTTTCAACGCAGATGACGCTGGCTCGGGAAAAAATAGTTGTTATATTATTAGTATTTGGTAACGTATTATTAGATTTAATTCATTCTAAGTATAAAGCCTCATATCAAACCGCTTAAAGAGAAGGTTGAGTTCTGGGGAGAGGTGAAAAACAATTTGTGAGCGTTATCATTCTAAATATGCAAGTGTGGAAGAACATCGGTGAAAAATGTTCCCCGAAAAGCATGTCTCCTCAAATGCCTCCATATTCTAAATACGACAAGTACCCGCTTAAAAATGAGGCTCGATTTTTATGCCACATGTGTGTGTAATACCATTTACCTCTTTCTGTGTACAGTGCTTGTTACTATCCAAGACTGGGCCAAATTTCTGATAATTTTGATGACTCCAGAACCTTGCAGTATATGCTACATGATCAACTTCTCTTGACCGATTCCGCACCGTTTCTTTCATAATGCAATCGCATGACCAGAACTCAACTTTATCTTTAAGTTAAGGCTTGTTGTTGTTACGAATTTCAATTCAATGTTGCCGATGTGAGGACTTCACGCACGTACAGCTCGTTTGAACTCACCCCTCATAACAATCCTCACTCCTTTGGAGTGGGCGTGGCACATCATCTGTGGATCGAATCCATCTCCTACGATCACGGCTGTGATGTTATCCCAGAAGTAATGTCTCCAATCGGCTCCGCTGCCAGAAAATGCCACCACCTGTAAAATGAGAGAAGGTAATAATTGATTACGCTTTAAAGCCCCACTGCACTACTTCAGTGCCATTGATTAGGAGAGTTTGGCCAACCCGGTTCGATTAGGTCACAATATGGCGACTGCTGCTTTGTTGGGCAAGCACAAAACAAAATAATATACGCCATGTTGTGACCCAAAGAAACCAAGTTGGCAAAACTCTGTGTATAGATGGCTCTGCACTACTTATACTACTTGCGCCCTCTATATTGCAAACAATGCCTAAGCGGTGATCATTGGTCCCCCATGGTCCCCTTTCTCTTCTGTTGATTGAGAGCTGATTTGATGAGATAAACGACTGTCAGTGACCTTGCAGGGAGGTCTAATCCCTCATGGCCAAACTAGTACAGATAGGTTTAAAGCAGTTGACTCTCAAGCCTGCAGAGAATAAGAATCCTAACCCGGCACCATGCAGTACGTCCTAATTTCGCAAGGCACCAATCTATATTTGCCACTCTCCATCCAGGGGGCGTTTCACAAAATTTGTCATCTGTCGTTGAAAAAAGGCTTTGTGAAACGGGTCCCGGGTGTAAATGGGTACTTGGCAATTCCTGGGACAATAATGATTATTGCAGGGTCCTTTTTAAGAACAGCATTGTAGCAGATAAGGGTTCCCGGAGCTGGCCTATCAAACATGATATTGTTATTACGCCTACTATTAAAAATGTGCACAGGTTTTAAAAAAATATATGTTTCGTGACATAATAATCATACCCACCTCCTTCTTTGCAGTGGTTCGTATGGGATCACACAATGTATGATTGGAACATGGGCAGGGCGCTGGGTTGAAAACCATTCCATGAGCGAACCATGCCAATCCAGTGACTGAAAACACACAAACAACCAGCATACGTGGGACTAGGAACGTCATTTTGGTTAATTGTTGACTACCAATACACCTTGACTGTGAATTATGAAGAATATTACATCTTGTGCCAAAGTCTATATTCCATGTGATCAGACAAAATAATATTAGATAAAATACGAACTCTTGTGATCAGTATATTGATAAACCTGGTTATGGGGGCGTTTCGCATAATGCATGTTTGCTCAGGTGATTAAAGGGACATATTAAACGGCACAATATAGGGCTTATCTTTGTACTTTGGTTCAATAATTGGAATCATAATTTCCATAAAATGATTTGAATTCAAAGATTACCTGTGCATTGATACTGAAAATTAATATAGATTGACTCCAAAGGCCTATACTTTCACTGTCCCAGCAAGATCTGATTACAAATTTTGTATGTAGGCCCAAACATAGACATCGATGTTTTCTTGTGCTATTTCTCCCATAATTTGCTAAATCTTGTATGGAGACCTTTAACATACTTAATAGACATCACTGAAGTAATGTTTGGGGAGGGTGGGGGCACGGGGCTGATGCCCCCAAAATGTCCTAGACAACAAAAAGGAAGGGGGGGGGGCTAAGGACAGAGAAAGTTTGGGTTAGGTTATCTTCCCCTGGAAAGTTTGACAAAAATTTTACAAATAATGATGATAACGCTGATTGTATATATAGCAAGTAATTACCGTTAGTGAAGGTGATGGGACTAAGGGTGCGTTTAATCGACACTTTTTCACCCTAGAATCACGGTTTCTAAAGACGTTTAGTTTAAAACGCAATGCGTTCAAGCGATTTTTTCGTCGGTCGTAAAAATAAATGTGTTTGAAAACACAAACATGAAACGCTGAAAAAGATGCGTTTTGTATCATGATTCTGCAGAATCACGGTCGCTAAAATTCGATTGAACGGACGGAGTTTTCAATCATGATTGTATGACGGAGCCTGTTCCGGTTTGGACAAAAACCGCGCGCCTGCTTTTCATGCAATTTGCGTTTACTATACCATGCGCTTTATCGTGGCCTGTTCCGTTATGTTATACCCTGTTTTCCTCTTTTTCTCTTTCTGTCTTTCCTTATGTTATTCTTTGTTTCTTCCTTCTAATCTTATGTTATTCTTTGTTTTTTTCCTTCTATCACCTTCCCTTATGTTATTCTTTATTTTTATAATTCTATCACTTTCTCTTCTGTTATTCTCTGTTTCTTCTTTCTATTCTTATGTTAATCTTTGTTCTTTTCCTTCTATCAGCTTTTTTATGTTCTTCTTTGTTTTAATCATTCTATCACTTTCTCTTTCTGTCTTTCCTTATGTTATTCTTTGTTTCTTCCTTTTATTCTTATGTTATTCTTTGTTTTTCCTTCTATCACCTTCTCTTATGTTATTCTTTGTTTTTATAATTCTATCACTTTCTCTTTCTGTCTTTCCTTATGTTATTCTTTGTTTCTTCCTTTTCTTCTAATGTTATTCTTTGTTTTTCCTTCTATCACCTTCTCTTATGTTATTCTTTGTTTTTATAATTATATCACTTTCTCGTATGTTCTTCTTTGTTTTAATCATTCTATCACTTTCTCTTTCTGTCTTTCCTTATGTTATTCTTTGTTTCTTCCTTGCATCACATTCTCTTTTTGTCTTTCATTATGTTATTCTTTATTTTTATAATTCTATCACTTTCTCTTCTGTTATTCTCTGTTTCTTCTTTCTATTCTTATGTTAATCTTTGTTTTTTCCCTTCACTCACATTCTCTTATGTTCTTCTTTGTTTTAATCATTCTATCACTTTCTCTTTCTGTCTTTCCTTATGTCATTCTTTGTTTCTTCCTTTTATTCTTATGTTATTCTTTGTTTTTCCTTCTATCACCTTCTCTTATGTTATTCTTTGTTTTTATAATTCTATCACTTTCTCTTTTGTTATTCTTTGTTTCTTTCTTCTATTCTTATGTTAATCTTTGTTTTTTCCCTTCACTCACATTCTCGTATGTTCTTCTTTGTTTTAATCATTCTATCACTTTCTCTTTCTGTCTTTCCTTATGTTATTCTTTGTTTCTTCCTTTTCTTCTAATGTTATTCTTTGTTTTTATAACTATATCACTTTCTCTTATGTTATTCTTTGTTTTAATCATTCTATCACTTTCTCTTTCTGTCTCTCCTTATGTTATTCTTTGTTTCTTCCTTGCATCACATTCTCTTTTTGTCTTTCATTATGTTATTCTTTGTTTTTATAATTATTCTATCACTTTCTCTTTTGTTATTCTTTGTTTCTTCCTTCTATTCTTATGTTATTCTTTGTTTTTTACTTCTATCACCTTTTCTTATGTAATTCTTTGTTTTAAGCATTCTATCACTTTCTCTTTCTGCCTTTCCTTATGTCATTCTTTGTTTCTTCCTTATATCACCTTCTCTTACGTTATTCTTTGTTTTAATAACTCTATCACTTTCTCTTTTTGTCTTTCCTTATATAATTTTTTGTTTCTTCCTTCCATCACCTTCTCATTCTTTGTTTTATTATTGCGATCTATGCTCAAAACAGCAGTCGACAGTCGGCCGTAAACAATTCCAAAAAGCGCGCGCCGAAGTTGACCTATACTTCCTGGGTCAAACTGCGAGGGTGATGCGCAGTGGCTGGGCTCGAAATGAGCTAGAATCAGTGTTGATGAAAAATCGCTTGAACGCTAACCGCAATGACCTTGTTTTTTGTAACGGCGTTTTGATTTGTGATTCAAGTTTGTGATTCTAGCTTCGAAAATTCGATTGAACGCACCCTAACTATATCACTTCCGAGGCGATCTGGATGCAGCTCCCGCCCCCCTTCCCACTCAGTGTTATTTAGGGTTCGCATATGCGTGTTCCCTCCTTTTGAAAACACCCCCTAAGTCCGGTGTGTAAAGTCAATTTTGTGTATGTACGAGCCGGACTTTGGTGCGTGAAAAGTACCCCTTTACCGGACATTTTGGTAACACGCATGCGGTCATTCCGACCCCGGAGTGGGGAGGGAGGGGGGGGGGGGGGGTGTAGCTGTATAGCGTATACATTCAGATCGCATGCAGTACAACGCACTTTCACCGAAGATAGTACACAGTGTAACGAACTTTTCTTCTCCCATCAATGATGACGTGCGAAACTACACTGTTGGTCATAATGGTGGAATATTTATTTTTACCCCAGTTTAGGAAAGGATTTTTAAAAATTATTTATTTCTAATAGATCTAGATAATGGCATATACTCTCAGGTTTTATTGAATATTAATTTGCGAGTGTTTGTTTTGCGTGACTGCTTAATCATTTGTGTGATACTATGCTAATCAGCTAAGGGACCTACGTCCTTAGGTCATAATTGACAGTAATGAGGATTAATGCCTCACAAAAGGGCACTAATATATAGCTGATCGACACGATTTTTATCCTGGGGCCTCACAGTAATGAGGCCATTGCTTAGCCCCTGAATCATGACCGTACGCAGTGTTTGCTAGGGTACGCGGCCCCTTCCACAAATCCCCCAAAACGAAGAAAATGCAATAAATTGTCAAAAATTCATTGCATTTCCCCCGGCCCCCAACAGGAAAAATTCCTCTGTGTGGCCATGTTTTGAACCATAATGCATGGCCCTACAGAGGAATTTTTCCTGTTGGGGGCCGGGGGGAAATGCAATGAATTTTCGACAATTTATTGCATTTTCTTCGTTTTGGGGGATTTGTGGAAGGGGCCGCGTACCCTAGCAAACACTGCGTACAATCATGATTCAGGTGCTAAGCAATGGCCTCCTTTCTGTGAGGCCCCAGGATAAAAATCGTGTCGATCAGCTATATATTAGTGCCCTTTTGTGAGGCATTAATCCTCATTACTGTCAATTATGATTTAAGGACGTAAGTTCCCTAGCTTATTAGCATAGTAGCACACATATGATTTAGCAGTCACGCAAAACAAACACTCGCAAATTAATATTCAATAAAATCTGAGAATGTATGCCATTATCTAGATCTATTAGAAATAAATAATTTTTTAAGGTCCTTCCCTAAACTGGGGTAAAAATAATTATTCCACCTTTATGACCAACAGTGTATGTTTCATCACGTGATTAACTTTTGACCAATCTTAGAGCAAGACTCTTGTATGCAGGCGCGTACGCCCCCTCCAAAACATACACATAAAAAAAGTTAAATGGGGGGGGGGGGGGTTCAACCCCAACCCCACCACCCCCTTTAACTTGTTTATGTGTGTGTTTTGGAGGACCTCCCCCCCCCCTTATTTTTGTTTTAATAATAAAAACAATTAAATTAAAATTAAATTAAATTAAAAATGTGATAATGGATGACCCAAATAAGCTGACCTTACCCCCCACCCCCCTAACGAAATATCGATCGGCAATATTTTCAAATTTCTAGACCAAAAGAAGAAAAAAAATGACCTCTGATATTTTCTGATTAACTTTTCTTTCTTTTTTTCTACTTCGTTCTATTCATCTTTCTAGTTCAGTCTTTCTCTCTCTCTCTCTATCTCCTTTTTTGATGACACAGAATGTTTCTAGTGTTTTTTTTTATTTGTAATATATTTAGATTTTGATGTAATATTTGTAACATATTTAAATTTTAATGTAATATTCGTAATATATTTAGATTTTGATGTAATATTTGATTTTAATTTTGTTTCATTATGCATGATTTATAATTGTACGGTTTAGTCATTAATATTTTGATCGTTTATTGTGTTGTATATTGAATTTGTCTTCCCAGCTGCATGTTCTTTTATTGCAATGAACCGAATTAAAACTAAATTGAGGGGAGGGGGGGGGGGTAACCACCACCCCACCCCCCCCCTGCGTACGCGCCTGGGCGAACTGAAGGGGGGGGGGGGGACTTGGGGCAGTAACTCCCCTAATTAAATTCAAACGTGGATTATTTCCAATTCGAAAACAGTGATTTACAAATGTTGCTGAAATGGTATGGTTTTACCGATGAGCTTAGGCTAGCCGTTCCCCTGGTTGCTCATCTGACCGTATTTTAATGCCTAAATCCCTGAGCTTCTGGGGGCCCTGTCTACTTGACCCCATATCAAGGGTCTTAAAGCGGACACTGGATGCTTATCTGA